TTGTTTTAAAGGGGCGGCCATAGTAGTGTTGTTTTAAAGGGGCGGCCATGTAGTGGTTGTTTTAAAGGGGCGGCCATGGTAGTGTTGTTTTAAAGGGGCGGCCATAGTAGTGTTGTTTTAAAGGGGCGGCCATAGTAGTGTTGTTTTAAAGGGGCGGCCATAGTAGTGTTGTTTTAAAGGGGCGGCCATAGTAGTGTTGTTTTAAAGGGGCGGCCATAGTAGTGTTGTTTTAAAGGGGCCATTATTTAAAAAAAAAAAAAAGGGGCGGCCATAGTAGTGTTGTTTTAAAGGGGCGGCCATAGTAGTGTTGTTTTAAAGGGGCGGCCATAGTAGTGTTGTTTTAAAGGGGCTGCCATGGTAGTAAGACTACCTTAGTCCACTGAGCTTGGCATTCTTTCAGATTTTAGGTCTCAAGTAAAAACCTAAATCTTTTTGGTTATTACAAAGCCTCACACATGCTTATAACAGGTAACAAAACATACCTGCAGGCTGTCAGTAAAGTGTGATACCCACAGGTCTCTCTCATTTATTGAATGAAAGTCTGACCGAGTCGCCCTGTGGGAGAGGGCACCAGATCCACAGCTAAGCCTTATTGCCCTATGCTCTTGCAGAAACGTCTTATTGTGGCCCCACATTTCAATGTCAGATGGAGGGGGTTATAATGCAATGTTTCCTCATTCGTTTGCCAGAACCGTGATAGAATAGCCTAGGGTTATTACATTTGGGTTATAGTAAAACAAGTTTATTTAGGCATGGGTGTGAGTGACTCACTGTGAGGCATTTTATCAATTCAATCTGAATTGGAGACAGATTACAGATAAAGGCTGTGATTATAATCTGTCTGAACATTAATATTAATCACTCAGATCCTGATTCTGAAATGGGACATTTCTTCCCACAGGGAAAAGATAGCAAGGCAGCCAACTGGTTTAGATGTGATTATTAGACTGAGTGGTGCATACCTGTGTAATAACAGGTGTAGCCTATTATTTAAAGTAAAAATGCCTTGAGTTCTATTTCAGAATGTCATTACTAAAGTTGCCCAACCAGATAGAATGTTGGATGCATAAGATATAGCTGGAGCCTAAACACAGTCAAATAGACTTCCTATTTGCAAACCTTGCGCAATAGACGAAATTATAAAGAATAGACTAATAGCCTATAACCTTTTTTTGTATGTCTACTAGAGATGTTCTTTCCATAATCAATGAATAAATTGTTAATTCACTTGACTAAGAGCCAAAACACCCACCTTGTATTTCTGGAGCGGCGGTGAGTATTCCAGCCAAAGCGGCTACCAAGATCCATCGTGAACCCATGTTCACCGCATGCATACAAGGCATTAAATCCAACGGTGCTGAATGCAGTATCTTTCTAGTTCAAATCACACCGATTGTCAAATATAAATTATTGGTTCCCCGAAGTTTCAGATAAACAATAATACCGGGAAAAGTCAGCAGTGGATGTTTGACCGGGCTAGAGAATAGTTCGCATGTGGAGCTACGCGTAAAGACAGCAGGCAGGACAAACGGGAACCCTCTTTCTCCAGGTCTGAAAAACGGTGCGGGTCTGGACTCCGGAGTGAAGGAATGCAGACCCAACTGTTCGCGGCAAGCGAAACTTCAAAACGCAGGTGTCACCGGTCGTAGATTTAAAAGCTATACAGCATGACGACGGGCGAAAATCCCTCTGGAAACCATATAATTATCCACAGCTGCGTAAGAAGCGAGCCGACGCTGTAAAGTTACTTGCTATGCAGCCTCTCCTCTCTCCAAGCCCACTTACTCCACCGGGAGGATTAAACGCTGTAGGGATATACATGTATGATGTGCGTATGCTCACAATGAATAAAATATCAAGCTGTGCATATGCCTCACTTTGAAAACTACAGCTATTTTACATCTCTCTCATTCCGATAACGTCATGCTTGAACGGGGCCAATACCCTAGGCTACCACTATAATGTTATGAGTTCTATTAGGGGCAATGGTGTAAGAAGACATTAACACTACTTTGGGAAGACCTGTATTGTAGCTATTGTATTCTAGTGTTTAGGCATTAGGCATAAAGAACATTGGCTACTGGATTAAATTACCACTTATGCTCAATCACAGTCAATTCAGTCTGAGGACAGTCTGAGCTGAGATTCCTCAGCCGTCACATTGGAGCAACCTGATCTTCATTCAATGGGAAATCGCTTTTGTCCCAAGCCATTGGAAGCCAAAAAAAAAATTAATCCGAAAGACTCGTGGCCTTTTCCATTTCAAAACAACAGTTTCCAGCACTGCCCCCATGCATGTGTGAGATCCACAGCGTTCTCTCCAAGTGAAGTTGGCCGTGTGCATAGCTGCGGTAAGTAGGGGGGCTCAGTAGGGGGGCTCAGTAGGGGGGCTCAGGGTGCTGTAGAACCCCATGAAACATCCGAAAACGTTTTTATTATGATTAAATATTATTATTTTCACAAAAGTAGTGCACTGGGCCTTTACTAGTTCTGTATTAGAGGACCGATATAGCTGTCTGTAGCTGGGGCCCCCCTAAACATCTTCCCTGTGGCTTTGGCTATGTGCAATGGAAAATGCTATTAAAATAAGCAATATATAATTGGGATAGCCTTCTTTCCAAATGCATCTACCCTAAAAGTGATCTGAACTATTGTCTATCCAAAAGCCATCATTGTGAATCCCCTGATTTTGGCACCTGTTTATTTGTTCACGTTCACTAAGTGATTACATCCAGACAGCTGATATACAGTTGAAGTCGGAAGTTTACATACACTTAGGTTGGAGTCGTTAAAACTCGTTTTTCAACCACTCCACAAATTTCTTGTTAACAAACTATAGTTTTGGCAAGTCGTTTAGGACATCTACTTTGTGCATGACACAAGTAATTTTTCCACCAATTGTTTACAGACAGATTATATCACAATTCCAGTGGGTCATAAGTTTACATACACTAAGTTGATGGTGCCTTTAAACAGCTTGCAAAATTCCAGAATATGATGTCATGGCTTTAGAAGCTTCTGATATGCTAATTGACATCATTTGAGTCAATTGGAGGTGTACCTGTGGGTGTATTTCAAGGCCTACCTTCAAACTCAGTGCCTCTGTGCTTGACATCATGGGAAAATCAAAAGAAATCAGCCAAGACCTCAGAAAAAAATTGTGTAGACCTCCACAAGTCTGGTTCATCCTTGGGAGCAATTTCCAAACGCCTGAAGGTACCACGTTCATCTGTACAAACAATAGTACGCAAATATAAACACCATGGGACCACGCAGCCATCATACCGCTCAGGAAGGAGCCACGTTCTGTCTCCTAGAGATGGTGCGAAAAGTGCAAATCAATCCCAGAACAACAGCAAAGGACCTTGTGAAGATGCTGGAGGAAACAGGTACAAAAGTATCTATATCCACAGTAAAACAAGTCCTATATCGACATAACCTGAAAGGCCGCTCAGCAAGGAAGAAGCCACTGCTCCAAAACCACCATAAAAACGCCAGACTACGGTTTGCAACTGCACATGGGGACAAAGATCGTACTTTTTGGAGAAATGTCCTCTGGTCTGATGAAACAAAAATATAACTGTTTGCCCATAACGATCATCGTTATGTTTGGAGGAAAAAGGGGGTACCTTGCAAGCCGAAGAACACCATCCCAACCGTGAAGCACGGGGTGGCAGCATCATGATGTGGGGGTGCTTTGCTGCAGGAGGGACTGGTGCACTTCACAAAATAGATCACATCATGAGGAAGGGAAATCATGTGGATATATTGAAGCAACATCTCAAGACATCAGTCAGGAAGTTAAAGCTTGGTCGAAAATGGGTCTTCCAAATGGACAATGACCCCAAGCATACTTCCAAATTTGTGGCAAAATGCCTTAAGGACAACAAAGTCAAGATATTGGAGTGGCCATCACAAAGCCCTGACCTCAATCCTATAGAAAATTTAAGGGCAGAACTGAAAAAGCATGTGCGAGCAAGGAGGCCTACAAACCTGACTCAGTTACACCAGCTCTGTCAGGAGGAATGGGCCAAAATTCACCCAACTTATTGTGGGAAGCTTGTGGAAGGCTACCCGAAACGTTTGACCCAAGTTAAGCAATTTAAAGACAATGCTACCAAATATTAATTGAGTGTATGTAAACTTCTGACCCACTGGGAATCATTCTCTCTACTATTATTCTGACATATCACATTCTTAAAATAAAGTGGTGATCCTAATTGACCTAAAACGGGGAATCTTTACTAGGATTAAATGTCAGGAATTGTGAAAAACTGAGTTTAAATGTATTTGGCTAAGGTGTATGTAAAACTTCCGACTTCAACTGTATAAGTGAGGCTCAGACTTGGGCCATACCACAATAAGTTTTTCCATTTTGTACATGTTCATACCTGCATCTGTGGCAAAACGTTTCACCCCA